CCTTCCCCTAATTTTTTTTCGCTCACACTCCGTAAACTCCATCTGCCCCCTGCCCCTGTACGACTGTGTCATTTGATGAAACTGGTAGGGTAGCAGGTGGAGACAGAGTTAGACTTGGTGTAGACCTGCCTGGCCACAGGAGCTGGTCCCCAGAAGCAGCTAGACAGGCGAAAGCACTGGGTCTGCAGTTAGGAACCGTGGCACATCCCGGCCAGGTTGCTTTCGGCAAGTCGTATAATCTCTCGATCTGAGCCTCGGATGTCATGTCAGTAAGCTGGCATCTGTAGATCTTCTGCTCAGATCTCCTAGAGCTGGTGTAAGGGTCGAAGAGAAGAACAGAAGTGACAAGATTGCCTCAAAAATGCCTGCCCACCCTACGCGTCTCAGGCAGATCCTTGTGCTCCCCCACTTTCTGATGGCGTGGCCTTGGGAAGGCATATGGCCCTTCTGTTCCTCAGTGTCCAAATCAGTGTCATTAGGAGAATAGCGTACCTACTTCAAAGAATTCTTTCGAGATGATGTGAAATAAATGGGTGCAGAGTGCTTAGTACAGTGAGCATACATGAAGGCGGTCCTGTCGCCCCTACCTCATGCTTTAGCAGGCAGAGAGCAGCTCCATGGGTCAGCTGACAAATAGTACCCCCAGCAACCCCAGGGGAGTGGGGGCAAGAGCTTGGACAGGAAGCAGGCTAAGGGGGCAGGATGGTGAAATTGCTTCTAGTGTAGTCTACCTGGTGCCATGTGTTTGTCCTCTCTACCTCGGCAGGAACTGCCGCCAAGCCTGGGGGCTGGGCACCCTCCCAAGCGCCAGCCCTCTGCCCGCCTTCGTCCCACACCAGCGTCTGTGACAGCAGAAAAGTAGGCCAGCTCATGTTGTAGGGTCAATTCTTCTGGCATCTGGGGGGCACAGCTCAGAAAGTGGACTCAGGAATGTGCTCCCTGATGGAGCTGCATTGGTTGTCAGCACACTAGCGAACAGACTTCTTGAGAAGTGGGGAGAGATGGCAGTGGGTGAGCACTGGACTGGGAGTCAGACCTGGGTCCCAGTCACAAACTGGTACCAAATGGCTTAGGGTCTCTGGGCAAAGGGCAAACCGTGCCTTTTACGTGCCCTCATCGGGTTCTCTCTGGGCTTCCCCTTGAGCCACTTCCACACTCAGTACTGGGTCTGTGTCCCTGAAGCTTGGCTCCTCCTCCTGCCCACCCAGTTTGGAGATGGAGACAGGAAGCTCATCCCAGTAGCCCGTGCTGCAGCCAGTCAGGAGAAAGAAGGGAAGTTGGCAATCAGTGGTTCCCTCTGGTGTCAGACAGCGCGTCCATCTGACTTTATGATCATCTTGCTGTCCGTGCCAGGACCACCAAGAACAAGCGTCAGCCCTTTCCCCATGACAACCCCGCAGAAGCCGGGCACCCATAACCACACAGCCCAGAGTCAGCTCTGCCCCAGCCCCAGCATCCCTGGTTTGCTCACCATTCCTTGTCTGTGTGGTTTGGAGCTGAGCCCTACCTTCATCACTTAGTATCCTCTGAATGCAGCTGGTTCATCTGGGTCTCCCTGAGACTGGCATGCCCAGACTTTTGTCAAAACTATAGACATGGTCTGGCCAAGGCAGAGTAGTATAGGACTGTCACCTCCCTCCTTCTACATACTCTGCTTCTATTAATGCAGCCTAATGTTACATGCGCTCTTTTGGTGACCACATCTCACCGCTGACCCATCCTGAGCAGAAGGACATCCAGAATGCCTAAATCTTTTTCTACGTGCTCTCGCTGTTAAGCTCTGTGTCTCCCGCCCCATCCTATGCTGTCGCAGTTGGTTTTTTAACCCAGGTTGCAGAATCCAACTTTTATTTATACCTGTGGAGTTTTGCTCGGGAGGGTGGGGCATGCATGCAAGTTTGTGTTGGTGTGTTCACTCATGCTTTCTGCTACACCAAAGCCAAGTCCCAGGTCCCTACACAGTGATCCCAAGGCAGTTATTTTTTGGTATCTGTAATCTTAACACATCTTTTTCATCTTCCGTTTAGCAAGAGAAACAGAGATCAGATCTTACGGCAGTGACCCCTGAACAGCAGAATGCATATATTGCCCAACAGATGAGTCAATTTCAAGGTAAGTGGTTCCCAAAGTAAACAGTTTCTGCGAGTGTTTCTGACAACATCGCGAAAGAGGGG